ACAGGTCTTCTTCAGTCCTCACCACTGACATTAGTAACCCCAGTTATATGGGTGTAGGCTACAAGACCAATAACCAGTCAGACAGGGGCCCCGGCAGAACAGCGTCATCATCTGGGCATTCATCAAAGGACATGACGCATGGCAATATCTCCCCAAAAAAAACTAGTTACGACCATGCTACACCCAGCCCAACTACAAAGGCATCAAACCCTATGTAAGTATCCACATTATGTTTAATTTAAGAGCAGATGAAGACATTAGTAACTTGAATGTGCGAGGGGCCTCCGGTGTTCTTCACTTCGTTATTTTTAGTGATACAAAACAGCTTGTTATGCTGCTTAATATTGCAAACTAGTATTTCTTATTATATTATTTTAATGTATTATCGTAATTGTAAACACACTGGTTTGTAGCACAAATAGTTTTACAGTTTACTGCACTTTGTTATTCTTCTAGTTATTAACCTATAGCAGCTAATGGGTTGGAAATCTGGCATTGGAAGAAAATAGCGTAATTTACAAAATAAGGTGAATATATAGACATATTTTTTTTAATCTCATTTACCTTATCACTATATCCTTTGTCATCTGACAAACATTTTTGATTTAGTCAAATATAACAAAGGTTATCTGCCAATATTAGAGATTTTAAAATCAGTTGATATTGGATATTTCATTCCCATTTGCCGTTTTTTGCATTTAGATTATCTTTGCCATTATGTAACATTAACTTAGTCAATAATTAAAAACACTTAGATTAACAAGTTTAATATTACAGTTTAATAACACTGTAAAGTGTAATCTTTGGCAAATCTCAAAATGAATTCTTTTTCATATTGTATATTATAATGTTGTGATGCCTAAATTCACTTTTAGTGTTTTATTTTTAATTTCTTTGTACAAAAAAGTATAGAATTTTAATGTCTACCTTTAATTGGTTGTCAGCCTTGACCAAAAAAAAATGGTATAAGCCACAATATTAATAATGCATCCCTAATATTTATATTAATGTTTATACAATTTTCTGTTTGATTGAATGTTGCTTTGTTACTGATACCAATTAAAATATTATTTCTGATGACTAAAAAAAAAAGTGTAGGCCTACAAATGAACACTGCTTGTTATAGGAATAACCGACAGTTTGCATCTGTTAAAGTGATTCTCGATTAATCTATAAATTCATTTTTGTGTGGTTATTTTTGGTTTAGATCTGAGGATGGGCAGACTCCAGAGATGTTTGAGAATCCACTTTATGGCTCAATGAGTGCATCACGAGGAAGTAAAGACCATCTCCCTCCTCCAGATGCTCACTTCGCCTTTTCCAAAACAGACCTTGATGCTGACCGTCAGCCCCCTGTTCCGACCCCTCGCATCCGCTCTTTCACCTGTTCAGAAACCAAACCCCAGTCATCATCAGTCACAAGCACCATGAGCAGTGGTCTACAACCCCAGAACATCACCAAGAAGCCAGTGGTGCCTTCTCGCTCTGAAGGGGGCACGACTGGGCCTAATAGACCTCCTGTGCCTATGAAGTCCCGCCCTGGTCAGCCACAAGAACTTCAACCAAAGCCCAGAGACTACAGGGACAGTTCTGAGCTCCCATCCAAGTTGCGGCTACAAACCAGATCAGGCCAACCAAAAGATGGTATGATAACTATAGTATATTCTACACATTCCTTCTTTGTGCAAAACACTAGATCGGGGTCTCGAAATTCATCTGTCAACTGACAGAGAGTTGCAAGGGCTGAGTGTAAACAGCTCTATTGATTATAATGGGAGCGACCCCAATCCATTAGGCTCAAAAAGAATCACATTTAACTATTAAAACCATTGGTAACACTTTATTTCGATAGTCCACTTTAGACATTCTATTAACAGTAAGTAACTTTGCAACTACATGTCAATTAGCAGTTAGTAGAGTATTAGTAGACTGTCTGCTTAATATCGTCTAACACTTTCTTTGTCAACTTATTCTACTAACCCTAAACCTACCCTAACAGTCTACTCTGAAAGTTAGTAGACATGTAGTTGCAAATTAATGAGAATTAGTTGACATGTAGTTACAAAGTTACTTATAGTTAATAGAATGTCTAAAGTGGACTATCGAAATAAAGTGTAACCAAACCATTGGTTTAACAATCAGTATTTGATACTACAGAGCATTTATTTATTGTTTATATAACTGTAATTAATATGATCCTATATAGTAGGCCTACAACCTTCATTAGTCAGCTAAGGGTGATTATAAGGCATAAAGACGTTATAAACATAACATCATGATTTTCTGCAACGCTGCTTTGAAACAATGTGCAATATGAATAGCACTATATAAATTTGCCTTGATATTTAACATTTATTGAAATATCTTTCCCTTCTCTTTCAATTGCAATGTCTGTCCTCAGGGCATAATGAGACGCCACAATTGAAGATGGGTCGGCCTTTAAAATGATTTCCTATCAGCTATCATCGTTGGTGTGAGCTTCATATCTGATACTTGAGACTCTGTAGTACTGGGCATAAGACATAAATGTATAAGAATACGTGTATAAACAATAGCAATAGAAAGAACATGGATATTGATTTTTAAATGATGAATGTTTCAGTTTGAATGTCACTGCATATAGTTTCACATAGAGCAATCATTTCTATCAGCCTGTTTAAACATTTCATTTTGCTTGAAATATTTTTATTAAAGGGAGGAGAGTGAAAAGTTGTAATCGTATATAATAAAACCAAGTGTTGTACAGTCATTGAATTGTTGAAAAATGCTCTTTATCAGTCAGTTTGACCATAGGCCACAAATAGTTGTTCTTAGAAATCCAAGGAGTGTAGAACTTTTCAAAATTACACATGCTTCCATTTTCCAGTTTTTTTTATTTTTATTTCTATATTACTGTGTATGGCATTGCAGAGCCCATACTGTAAATAGCAAGGAACTAGTTTAACCAACTAGCAATTAGCCAGGGTTAATCAATCTTCTTAGATTCAAATTAGACCAATATACCATGTTATATACCATGTCAACTATATGCTTACAAAATTACAAGTTATGACCAGTGTTTAAGAAAAAAAAAAAATTGATGACAAACTTTTAAGGCTACAGTCTCTAAGCAGGACCAGCGCTCTCTTCCACCTTCAATACCATGACTGAGGTGAGACCCTTGAGCCGAGCCTCCAACTGCTCCCCGGGAGCCGCAGCAAATAGCTGCCCACTGCTCCGGGTGTGTGTGTGTGTACACTATTCACTGCTTTGTGTGTGTGTGTGTGTGTGTGTGTGTGTGTGTGTGTGTGTGTGTGTGTGTGTGTGTGTGCACTTGGATGGGTTAAATGCAGAGCACACATTTTTGAGTTTGTGATAGCATACTTGGCTACACGTCACTTTTTTTTTTATTTCTTTTTTTTTATTACAAAACTTGTAGAAACATACAGAAACAGGGAAGCGAGACATGAATATATTCCAACAAAAAGCAATTATAAAAATAAAAACAGAAAACAAATATTCTGTATTTGCATGTCAAATTAATTATTATCGATACATAAAAGTGCAAAAATAAACTTACATTCTTTTAGAAAAGTTGTCATAATACATCAAAAGTTTGGCACTCTTTTTGTTATTAGTAAGTCTAAGAGATGAAACAAGAGAGTCCAATTCAACAAGAAAAATGGGGAAAGACAAAGGAGATTTAAGCCATTTTTGCTTATGAAGAATTTTGCATTCAATATAAGAAAATTGACAAGTGTTGGGGAAAGTTACTTTTAAAAGTAATGCATTACAATATTGCGTGACTCCATAAAAAAGGTAACTAATTACGTTACTTAGTTACTTTTTATGGGAAGGAATGCGTTACGTTACTTTTGCGTTACTTTTAAAATCTGGACAGGGCTTGCTTGTTTGTTTTTAGAATAAAAAAGTTATATTTTTGCCAAATATAAAAGCCTTTTCACACCAAAAGTGAAATGAAGAAGCCTCAGGCTGAAGGGAAAGTAACTTTACGTCCGTACAGCAGAATGCAGAAGAAGACATTTCAACACACTTTAGCAATAAAAACACACACAAATGTTGTCTAGAGTAATTTTTGCTTATTAGTATGGTTGAACTGGATCATCGAAGGACAGAAGCAAAGACATTGGTTAACAGAATGGGATTAAATACATAAAGGATATTTGTGTTGTTTAACATTTAATTATTGCGGGTTTGCGGCATGTTCTGAGTTGCATTTTTTTAATTCATTTTGAGGAATACTGAATGTGTTTTTTTTTTGTGAGTGAGATGAATTAATGCATATTCATATTTATTTTAGATCTACAGTAACATCTTCTGATTTCTCTCAGCATGGGGACAGGAGAGCTGTCAATCAATCAATTGGGAAAAAAAAGTAACGCGTTACTTATTTGAAAAAGTAACTCAGATATTCTCTTGTAAATTAAAAAGTAATGTGTTACTTTACTAGTTACTTGAAAAAAGTAATCTGATTACGTAACTCGCGTTACCCCCCAACACTGAAATTAACAACATATTCAACAGATAATAGCTTTGGATTTTCATAATAAAAGATAACATCTTTGAGGACAAAGGTATGGGACACATTTGTAAGGTTAGAAACATAGGTGCTCAAGCCAACCCATAATTTGTTGGTAGCTACACTTCACTTTCACTTTCACTTTCACATATGCGACTGGCTACCACCCGTGCTTTTTATTATGTGCCTCCATCTGCTGCTGAACGAGGTGAACTACCAGAGGACCGTTTGCTAAGTAACCGTGTGGACACATTGGACAAGTTCATTCTCAGGCATTAATTTCATTATATAAAATATTTCATAATTTTATAAAATATGTATATTTTTTCTTTTAAAAATAACATATATAAGATTAATAGACAAGTATATATACAATTTCCTATTCAGTATTTGTGAGGCACTTTCCGAGATGCGTACAGATGACGCAAACATTCCTCCACCAATGGGAGCGTTACGTCTTCATTCGTCTAGCCAATAGAAGCACGGATTGAAGAACACGGGGGCTGACATGCACCTTTAACGTTGGTTTGCCAATCCGCCAAAAAAATGGTAAGCGTTGTTATTTAGCAATAACGGTGCTTTCCGTTTAAAAAATAAATAAGCAACTTTGCAGCGACCAGATAAATCTGTTTGCAATATTTAAAATGTATTATTGATTACTGCTCACTGCTGTTGGTGAGGTATTAATAATGGCAGCGTCCTGCTAACGGCTAGCTAACCTGTCCAATCTCAAACTAATTTGTATTGTTATTCTTTTAATTCAATTGCAAATAGAAACAACTGCTATTGGCACCGGCTATTTTCTAATGCTTTGGTATTTGTTATCGAATAGAGTAATTTAGAGCCAAGGTAAACAGCTTTTGGTGGCTTCTCTCGTTGTGTATGGCGTTGTACTGTGTTTCACACCTTAAATCACCTTTTCACTCGTTTGATCATCTTTTGTACATATATCAGGCCTTAATTTGAATGTACCATTTCAACTTTTAATTCCTCAGCTCTTCTACTCGTTCTTCAAGTCCTTGGTCGGCAAAGATGTTGTGGTGGAGCTCAAGAATGACTTGAGGTAAGCGCTTTCCTTTTAATATGTCATGTACTTTTAAAATAGTATGTGCACAGTGTAATTTATGTGGTATCTCATTACATTCTGAATATCAACTTTGCAGCATTTGTGGAACATTACACTCAGTTGATCAGGTATGGCTGGACATTGCGCTTTATTGAAATGTAAGCAAATATTGAGTGAATTTAATTTCAAAATGAAACTTCTTCTCCCTTCACAGTATCTGAACATCAAACTGACAGATATCAGTGTCACTGATCCTGAGAAATATCCGCACATGGTGAGAACTTGTCAAAGAGTGTTCCTTGTTAAAGATTAGGAAGTGTTCGGACTATTTAAAGGGGTGGTTCATTGCGATTTCACTTTTTTAACGTTGGTTGGTGTCTAATGTTGTTGTTGAAGCATAAGGAATATCTGCAAAGTTACAACGCTGAAAGTTCAATGCAAACGGAGATATCGTCTTTTAAAATTCTGGCAGTTTAATGCCTACAAAAACGGCTGGTAGGGACTACAATGAGTTACTTCCCGGGTTCGTGACATCACAAACCCAGATAAACCCCGCCCTCGGGAAAAGGCAGCAAAGGGGGCGAGGCCTGCGCTGCTTTAGAGAAGAGGAAGAGAAAACTAGAGGTGCATGTAAAAATCTATTCATATATGAATCGCGATTCTGTCTTCTAACGATTCTAATGGATTCACAAGTTTCAAAATCAATGTTCTAAAGCAGCGGTTCTTAATACTGTTCCTCGCATCCCCCTGCTCTGCACACACTCTGCATCTCTCTCTCTCTCTCTCTCTCTCTCTCTCTCTCTCTCTCATTCAGCTCAGCTCCAACAATGAACTGTTACAATTATATGCTTATTTTCACATAGTTATGAGAAGCGTTATACATGGACGCGGTGCAGTTGCCGTACTGTATTAAAGCTTTAATCAGGATAAAACCGTATATTAAAAGCTAACAGAAGCAGTAGCATTTACAAATAACAGCGTATCTAAAAGTATGAGACAACAACAAACAAAAAACATAGGCCTACCATTAAAAGCCGTGCTTGCACAGGTTCTGCACGATCCTCTTCAATAATATCCTCTGCTTTTCAATCGGGCTCAAACTGATAAGCGATATTAACGAAGCAGTTGTTTACAATACATGTGTACAGCACATGCCGCCGAGGTGAGGGGCGGGACGTTTAGATGTGCGCTAGAGGCGGTTTAGCCAATCACAACACACTGGGCTAGCTAACCAATCAGAGCCCATAGCCAATTTCTGATAGGGGCTTCATTAAAGAAGGAAATGATCAGCCCGGTTTCTCAGAGAAGGGACAGAGAGGTGTGGAATAAAGGTAAATTATGTGAGAAATGATTTTTTTTTTTTTTTTTTAAATGAAGCGTTAACACATGTTAGACCACCCCATAAACACAATCAAGCCTAGAAAAAATCCAGTGAACCACCCCTTTAAACCTCGATCACTCAATAGATTGATAAACAGAATTAATACTTAAATAGCAGAAAAGAACACTTGTTGTCTGCCTGTGCCTATACCTCAGCCACTTGAGTCTGTCATGTATGAAATGTCATGTTGAGTTTAAGCAGGTGCTCAACCTTCAGGAGAACTATGTCTATATATGACTTTTAATTGTTTTGTTTTAGTTGTCGGTGAAAAACTGCTTTATCCGTGGATCAGTAGTGCGATACGTTCAGCTTCCTGCAGATGAGGTGGACACACAGCTACTACAGGATGCTGCACGCAAAGAAGCTATGCAACAGAAACAATAATGTTTACATTTGAGAATAGTTTTTGTAGGACTGTTCAGAAGCATCATCTGTGGAGCTGTGTATAATAATTGTTTTTTCCCCTACCTGAAGCATTTATGTAAAGTGTGGAATCTGGATTTTTTTTTTTTTATTATTTCCATTTTTACCTGTGTTGTCATGAGGCACATTACTGAGAGGGAATTACTTTTTTTCAGTTAGTAGTGGTTGTGTGCTTTTAATAATGGTTGGAAGGTTTTGTATTGCATCCAGATGACTTTTGTTTTAGTTAAGTTCTTCAGACCTACTAATTCAGGAATAAAGTATTTTCTTCCACTGTGCTTTTTGTTATTTTATTTCAACCATTGTTCAAAATCGCATTATGTCTGAGTAAGTACTTCTTTTGAATAAGTAATTATTTTATGAATTAAAAAGGTAATTTTGATGTCATGGGTCTCCAACCCTGCTCCTAGAGAGCTCCCGTCCTGTTGAGTTCGGCTTCAACCCCAATCAAACACACCTGCACCAGCTAAGCAAGGTGTTCAGGGTTATTTGATAATTACAGACCAGTTTGTTGGAACTGAAGTCTGCAGGAAGGTAGCTCTCCAGGCACAGGTTGCAGACCCCTAATATAAAACATTCATTTTTTTTACAGTGGTAAAATGATTTGTTTTAAATCCTATGAATGTAATCCAGACGTACAACATCTGTCGTGTTGTCATTGTCTTGTGACCAACCAGCGTCAGTTGGGTTGCATCCATGCCATTCATCAATCAAATCCTTTCCCGTGGCTTCATGGGATATTTAAGTGTCCATTGTATATGCACTTCAGAATCTCACTGTAGATTACTTTGACTACTGCTTTATGAATACTCTGAATTTGGACATGCAGCCAAAGTGTATGTTGCACAGCTTAAAATGTTTATATACCGGTTAAGGTGTAGGAACAGTGTGTATGACTAGTTAAATACGGGTGGGACACTTAAGTTTTTGTATTTAATGTTTATTTTTGCTATGTACAGTGTAGTGGAGTTCTGTGCCTGTTTTAAATAGTGAGGAGCGAAGTCATTTTGCATTGTGCTTTAAAAAATTAAACCTCATATGAGATCTTATTTTTAAATGATTTATTCATTCATCTTTATCACTAGGCGCTACCTATTTAGGCCTACAGTGTTTTAAAAGGAGTGCCTAAAAGTACTCCTGGGGGTCAGTGGATAAGATAAGAGTTTTCTAAATGTGTGTATGACTTCTCTTGCTATTAACTAGTTTCTACCTAAAACTGAAGCATTTTGTACTGTATCTGACAAGCTAAAACTAATACATTACAACATTTGGCTGTAGCAGAGCTTTGTTTCATTTAAAAGTTTGTTTTATTGTATGTAGAAATAATAATCCCTAATTTTAATATCAATATTGGTTTATTTTAACAGTCTCAAATTTAGACGATTTTCGCGTTAATGTTATGAGCGCCCTTTAACAGAGTGCCGAAGGGATTGGCTAATTAGCTCACCAATGAACTTGAAATCTGTTAATTTGCTTCAAACGTGTGAACCACTAAATTAAGACAAATTGCTATCAGCTGCTTGTTCCGTTTCCATTCGCGGTTTTACTGAAACTCTCGCAGGCTACGTTTAAATTAAACGGATAGGGGGTTTAATGAGAATGGTAGGTGTTATTTTTTTCCCTTCTCATAACAGTTGGTTCTTTCAAAACTCGATGACCGCCCGTTTTAACCGTCATGTGGCGTTCCAAGTCATTTCGAGTTTAGAACTCGCCTATGTCCGCAAAACTACATTGTGCAGCAGCAGAGTATATTTTATTACGATCAGTTTTCTCGGTTTTGTTTGTCTGCTCGTGTTTATCACAAAAGTTAATTTCAGTTACTACCCTGTGGCAGCTGAAAATCACTATGGGTGTCTTTACTTAAATCATGAATTGGGGGGTGTATTGATTCATATACACTGGAAGGGGGGTTACACTTGACTTCCATAGTCCACTTTAGACATTCTACTAACTAAGTAACTACATGTCCACTAATTCTCATTAATTTGCAACTACATGTCTACTAACTCTCAGAGTAGACTGTTAGGGTAGGTTTAGGGTTAGTAGAATAAGTTGACAAAGAAAGTGTTAGAAGATATTAAGCAGACGGTCTGCTAATACTCCCCTAACTGCTAGTTGACATGTAGTTGCAAAGTTACTTACTGTTAATAGAATGTCTAAAGTGGACTATCGAAATAAAGTGTTACCGAATGGGGCTGTCCTTGGCTAATGCGGGGCCCGGTGCGAGGTAAGGGGCCCGGTGCGAGGTAGGGGGCCCGTGCGGCTGCACCCCTAAGGACGTCCCTGCAATAACACCAGACAGTTTCCAATGGTTCTAGTCTGTTTTCAGGAGAAATGCATGAATGCGAGCTTTGACATGGAGGATTGTTGCTCTGAGCTGCACCACAGCAAAGTAAGTTTGGAGATCCACCTTCGGAAGTTTGTCAATTATTTAATGATTGGCGAAATGGGAGCTTTAGGTAGCTTGTCTTGATGGCCTATTGCCTTGTCGTTTAGATGGATGATCGCATTGCTAAGGGTTCTGCTCTAAACTCCTTACTCAACGAGCTGTTAGAAGAAAAGGTAGTGTTTTCTAAATGGCTTTGCTACTTGTTTTTCTTCAGTGATCCATGTTTTTCTCTTGCTTTTAGATTTCTACTAAGAGGAAAAATCATTGGATACTTGGCCCTGAGGACCTCAATGATACTCTTGTTTATGATTTTGAGATTGAAGACGCAGCCTGAGCTTTTGTGTTAATGCCTACATGGTTGTGCTTTCACCCGTGAATAAACATTGCAGGTGAAAGTGTAGTTTTTAACTTAATCAGCTAATAGTAACTTGTAAATAAAGTGTGTATATATTTACTTGCATTGCCTCCCTTCTGTGTGTAAAAATGTGTATTAGTTTGACTATTGTGAGGTCCTCACCATTCAAAATTATCCTTTCTGAAAAAGTGAAACAGTTGGAACACCAACTAGCGAGTCAGAATTTAGTAGTTTAAAAGCCCTGACTAACATAGTGAAACAAACAGCTGTTTGTGTACGGCATATTTTAGGGACAAATGTATACCTAGATGTGACCTGAACTGAAGAAAAAAAAAAACATCTCTCCGGTAGGTGGCGACAAACGATGCAAATATTTAGTTGGAGAACTGAAGTACATCCACGTGTAGTTCTGTCAGGTCTGAGAATCATTTTGCTTCCTACCTAAAATTATCTTTTATCTGACAGGATTATCCCTCAAGTTCACAGTTATAATGAACTTTTAGGCTCTTAGCGAGGTTAGTCACAGAAAAAGGTATATTTATCTTAATATGTACCAAGTTCACTGAAATGTGCATTTACACAGTTCTTGCCTTCTGAAGAAAATTGCTTATTTCCCTGCGATTTTAAAATCTTTGTGTGGAGAATAAACTAGAATGAGTCATGGGAAAGTGTCGTTAGGCGGTTTATTGCAGTACTGTGGACCGATACACTTCACTATTGAGGAATGAGTGTAATAACAGACAAAGTGGAATAGTCAACAAACACAACCCAAGAATGGTTACTGTATAAGCGTTTGTTTTTTTTAATAGATTTATTTTGTGAAAACACATTGTCTGCTTTCCTAAGTTCAGATAGTTTACTGAATGATTCACCTCAGATGGTTCTCCCAGTCACATCTGGCGCCTTGACACAAATAGTTTCACTGGACGCCTTTAAATAGTTAGGCGAACATTTCTCACATGTTGAACATGCAGTATTGGAGATTCTGTTTCCATTTGAGCCTTCATAACATTAATATCCCCGGCTGTCATAGTGCCAAAACAGCTTAATCAGCCCATGACTCTTTTAATGCTCTTGTGTGAGGAGGCAAACACGCATATGACCTGGAAAGGGATCGGGATTTTAACCACTGGACAAACAAATACATTTCTTTTTTTAAAAATCACACACAGGTTTGTTTTTATGGTTTATGGAGACTCTCCATAGGCGTAATGGTTTATATACTGTACAAACCGTATTTTCTATTGCCCTACATCAACCCTACCCCTCACAGGAAACTTTCTGCATTTTTAGATTTTCAAATAAACTCATTCTGAATTATTTATAAGCCTTTTGAATTACTGGGACACTGAAAATGTCCTCATAAATCACCTTCTCGTTGTAATACCTATGTCATACCCCTGTTATTATACAAATTTGTGTCCTCATAAACATGCACACACACACACACACACACACACACACACACACACACAGAGACAGAGAGAGAGTAAGAGAAACCACCATAACACCTGAATACACCAGCTCTTTAGATCCCTTTCTGAAAACGTTTTCTACTGACCCGAAGAACTTTTCTACCCACTCTGATTTCATGTTCTGAACAACTAGTTTTATTTCGGCAGTTCTTTAAGAAATCTGAAGTTTTGCGTCCACGAGATGTCACCCAGAGACCGTTTTGACGCTGAGCAACACTAAACGACACCGACAACACCTGCATCTCGCAGATCAAGTCATGTAATTTCCCCGGCGTTTAGCATCTTAAATCACTATGACCGTATAAACAACGTGAACTTCACGAACACAGGAAAGTGTGATATGGCAGAGCACACGCGCTCTCTGTTGAGCTCTTATTTGTCTCGCATTCTTGCTCTGTTTCTTATTAAGCGTTAAATCGTATTTAACACTTTAACCCTATGTAACTGAACGCCATTAAATGTGCTCACTCCAAGAATAGAGCCCGATCCACAACACGCAAACAGCGGACGGAGATTTATGAGCCCCTCGCTCAATGCCAAGCGGCACTTTTCTTCTTCTTCTTTTGTCATGTCTGTTTAACCATACGCATACACATCTTTCGAATATGGTGCGCTTCTGACGAGAGCATTCAAACTTATTTTAAAATGAAACAGCCAGCACGTTGGCAACAAATAATGATGATTAAAAAAAACACATACATTTAAAAGTAAACGCATATGACTACAGAGAAACTTGTGCAGGTCTGCTGCGCTCATGCCGTTACAATTGACAGCAACCGCAGAACTATACAAACTTTTCTGTTGCATCTCTACTGCCAAATTTGGCTGAAATACTATCCAATTTAACACTTCATGCACTGACAAAATAAATAATAATGACAATATCAATGATGACATTAATGGGTCTCTGATGCGTTACAGAAAAAAACTAAAACAGCAAATGGCAAACACACGCTCAACAACTGTACGACCAAATCAGAAACCATCTCCAAGCATAGGATGTGATTTTGTACATGCATATACACACACTACAATGTACACGGCTTCTGGCACAGGAC